CATCAAAACCATTTATAGCTTTTTGTCTAAAGTTGATCAGTTGCTTATCTTTAACCTACTGCAAAAAACCTCTTTAGTATTTGTCAAGATTAACAAGTTTAAAATAAAAACAATCATAACATCACTGTTTCATTCTATTTTTAAGTAAAGTTGGTTCGGCCCCTGAACACAGTTCAGATTTTTCACATGCCCCTCCCCCATAGAAATTAATTGCCCACCCCTGCTCTAGAACCTACTGGCTCGTCTTTCTGGTAGTCCAGGGGTATCTGCAAAGTTCTCCTCTAGCACACCATTAAGCACCATCACTAATTTCAGAGAACTGTAAGGATGGGGAAAGAGAGTAGGGGGGGGAGTGTAGAAAAATAGGCTCTCTTTGTTGCATTTTAAAGAAGGAATAACAGATGACTATCCACTACTTTCTAAAAAAACTTTCTTACACATTTCCTCTTTGTTCTCAGTAAAAATAAGGGGTAGAAGGCTGGCTGGAGAGCTTAGAAATTCTGGCTGTGATTCCGATTCCTCACTGTGCGTTCCAGAAAAGCCATCCTGTGCGGCCTTGGGCAAGCTTGCACAGTCCCAGGAGGCCCCAAGAAGAAGGGAATGTTAAACCACCTGAGAGTTTTTTTGTCTAGAAAACCCTGAAAAGAGTCACCGTAAGTCAGAATTGATTTGACAGCACCCAATTGTTGTTAAGAGAAAGTGTGTAAGAAAGATACGGGCAGGATAGAAGGCCATCATATCGCTGCTGGTGCCCTTCTGTCCTTCCTGCATCTTTCAGTCTATGATATGGCTTTGCTATTTGCATTTCCTGACCCACAGGAAGATGTTCTTCACTGAGAACTGGAAACACACAAGTATTATCATGGCTCAGGCAATGATCAGTGTCACCAAAAGAGCACAAGGCTGGTTGACCTCAATCTGTGTACAGTACCTTCATTCGGGGCTAGGAGCCTGCATACATCCTTATTTCTCATGCTTTTTAAAACCATAATTATCAGTACTGCCCATCAGATACATAAGTTTGAACTTGACACATTCATTTCAATGGCATTTAAGCACATTAGATCACACTGCATTGATAGGATGGCTTGCTTTTTTTGCCGAAAGTTTGGTTCAAATATTTTTTGTTACAAAATAATTAGAACAAACTATTCAACTGCTATTGTTTCCCTAGCTTCCATACAGTTCACAAAACATTTCACTGGAGAATAGTATTGTCCATTTCATTGTGCAGCAGCTCAAGCACTCACCTAGTTTACATTGTGAAATTCTGCTTTACCTTGAGAAAATTAGCCGTTCACTGTAATCTTTCTAGGCTCAACATTCTAATCCAAATGGCTCAATTTTTTCAACATTGGTATTTGATACAATGGGAATGTAATGCTTCAGTTGCTTCACAGTAATGCCTTTTGTTCCATTCTAGATGCTGATGAATAAAGTACCTGAAATGTGCAGGAAAATCTTTACCTCTGGATATTTTCCAACTCGGCTTAAACATTCTTTCATCTGTCTCAGCATCTAAACTTTAAAACTTGTGTGAGTATCTGGCACGATTTTAAGCTCTAAATTTGTCTCTGGTCAGTGTTTTGTTTTTTTTAACATACAGTACAAGTAATGCTCAAAACATGCTGGCAAACAGAAACTATTCAACATGACACGCAGTCTTAATTCTTTGACTGTGGCTTTCCATTGCATGCTTGTGGTATTCTTTCTAAATAGTACAAGGAGGTGGAATGTGTAAGCCTCCAACTTCCTGGTGATAATCCTCCTGAGCACATGGTTTTGTGAATCCAGATGACAAAGTAATTAGTGATACCTGTAGAAAAGTATGTATTTTATTTGAGACAATGTCTTCATAATGTCATGCTAACAAGATATAAAACTTCATTTGAAAAATGTAATGTGCATACATTAAATCATTTATAAAATAAAAAGGCAGATTGTAGAGTACAAGTGCTCTGGAAGAAAGCTTGGGGGAAGTTTTTTGGAGGGGGTATAACTTCCCAAATAAGTTCCCCATTCCTGTTACAGCCACTTGTGCCCAGTTCCAGGTGTTTGATATAAACATATCAGGTTTTGGGAAAGCACCTCCGTTTATTACTGTGGCAGTGTGACACTCTTGGTTCTCCTGAACTCAGTGCCTTTCAGTAATGACAACTTAGTCAAATCTCCCCTTCAGTGTTATGATATTTAAAATGCAAAGGCATTCCACTCCTTTTTATGGAGCAGCAGATTGCAGAATGAGATCATGTAATATTACTATTCCTTCTCATGAGAATTATACTAGGAGGGTTTACATATTTAACAGTATCTGCCATGATATTTGGCATGTACATTAAACCTGGAGACATGGAGTTTCTTGTTTTCAACATGCTGATGTCCCTAGCATTTTTTAAATAAGGGCCAGGTAAGGCAACACTGAAAGAATGCCTATAATTAGTGGCCCATGGATTAAGATGGAAAAATTAAGCTGAATTCAAAAGACAAAATTGATTAAAGGTGAAGGGCTTATTGTAGTAGTAATCTGGAGATTTAGCTCTTCGGGATAAATTTACACTCCCTTATAAATATCTTTGTGGTTCTTATAGACCTAACATTGATCCTATACCTCTTTCCAGGTGGCAGCAGTGGGAGAAGGTGTATTTTATCAGCTTTGGTTGATAACACCAAGCATATGTATTTGTAAATGAAGGAAAATGCACTCCAGCAAACTGTGCATTTATACTTACAAGTTATCACCTGTTTTGTACATCTGTAGTGGTTGCCAGTTTTTTTCCCACTCCATTCATAGTAACCGTTCTATCTTCAAAGTCACAAATAATGTGAGTCCTGATGATTTTAGGGAATACATTGTTTTATATCAATTTTCCTTTTCCTGATCAGCACTTAAAACATTTATAAGGTCGTAGTCCAAATGGTGTCTCATAGGCAGGTCATGTTTATCATTTAATAGACTTCTCTCAGCAGCTATTCCAATAGTGCATAACCATGGGGGACACTGCATTCATCAGCTATTAATACTACTACCACTACCATTACTAGTTTATTTATTTTATTTATTTATTTAAATTGATTTATATGCCGCCCACTCTACCCAGAGGTCTCTGGGCAGCTTGCAATAATTAAAATTCAATACAATAAAAATAAAATGATTAAAATACAATTAAAATACAATTAAAATTGCCATCATCAGGACCCACAGTTGATGTTATTTCAATTAAAAGCCTTCTGTTACCATGTGGCATATACTGTAATTTTTTCCCTTAAGGAGTTGGAGTAACACAGTAGCCCATGGTTAGGGGGTGGAGCCAAGTCACCACCATATGGATTATGGACTGCAGGTGATTTCCTTGTTAAATTTGGAACCTGGCTTTTCACAAAGGAGAGCTGCTGGTTAGCTCAGTGATTTAGGCAGCTTGGGAGTTTGATTCCGCATTGAACCTCCAGCTGGATTCAGTGATACATAGGGTCCTTCCAGCTCGGCCATTCTGAGATGTTATTACTATTATATTATCATTTCAAAATGAATATTTTATCTTAATAGGGATCTCTGAAGTAGATTACACTGAGAGATGGCGGATAGCTGAAAACTACACAGTGACTTTCAGCGTGTGTCTCTGTGTAAAATTGACCCCCCCCCCTTTTCTAAGTTCAAAACTCTGGCCTTTCTACCATTCAGTAATATCATAGAAATCATAGAATAATTGAGTTGGAAGGGACTTATGTATAAGGGACTTACATATTTATTGTTTGAATTTTAATTGTTGTAAGCCGCCCAGAGACCTCTGGGTAAAGTGGGCAGCATATAAAATAAATAAGACATAGGACATAAGAAATTTATTTGTCATTGCGCTCACAAGTGGGTGCAACGAAATCAAATGTCTCTAGCATTGGAACACTCACCACCTCCCAAAGTAATTTGTACCATTGGCTCTAACAGCTAATATGTTTTTCCTGATATTCGACCTAAATCTGACTTTCTATAGCTTGAATCCATTATTATGTGTCCTGCAATCTGGGATGACCATTGCTGAACAGAGGGAAACTAGCACCTCACATGATTTGGAGACTATACTTCTGTTAACACATCCTAAAATATTTGCCTTTCTTGCAGCCACATTGCACAGTTGGCTCATATTCAGCTTTTAATCTACAATTCCAAGCTCCTTTTCACTCAAAGTATTACTGAGCCACATATCCCTGGTCTTGTAACTGTGCATTTGTTCCCCCCTCCCCCCTTGGAGGAGAACTCTATATTTATCCCTATTAAATTTCATTTTGTTGTTTTCAGCCCAGTGCTCAAGCCTATTGAGATCTTTTTGAATTTTTTCCTGTTTTCCAAGGTTTTAGCAATTTCTCCCAATTTTATGTCATGCACAAATTTGATAAGTATTCCCTGCATTCCCTCATCCAAGTTATTAATGAAAATGTTGAAGAGCACAGGGCCCAGGACTAATCCCTAGAGCACTGGTTCTTAACCTTGGGTTACTCAGGAGTTTTGGACTGCAACTCCCAGAAGCCTTCACCACCAGCTGTCCTGACTGGGGTTTCTGGGAGTTGCAGTTCAAAAGCATCCAAGTAACAAAGGTTAAGAACCACTGCCCTAGAGTATCCTACTTGTTCCCTTATGAATGTATATGATCTAATATGTATCATGGAATGAGAGAAATCAAACATAACAAGAATGTTCGATACGTCACAAATCAATTTTATTAATTTAAGCACAAAATGAATGAAGAAAACTTCTGTACACAGCTGTGGACACAACACACTTTTTGTACAATAAGGCCCAGACAAACTTTTTAAGTCAGCATATTGACTAGAAAAAAATGAAACAAAGGGAAAAAACATGTCCATCTCTATTTTGCTTAAAGCAAAAAGGGAGAAAAAATTACAACCTCTGTCATTAAAAGATTTGTATATGTGCTTAACTTTACAGACTGCGGAACTGAATTGTTCATGATATACAAAGTTATTCAATAGGGGGTGCCATATTATAATCAAGTAATTTGAAACAATCCATAACATAATATAAACTGTAGCAGCAATATGCATCTTCCACAAAAAAGGTGTTTACCTCACAGCTACTGTTAGTCTTTACAGGTAGTAGCTGGCTTAAAAGCTGGTTTATTTCACAAAACAAAACAAAAAAATCAGAAGCAAAAGAAAGAACTAGAAGAACTTTTAAGTTTACTTTTAATGAAGACTCCAGTGGCCTGGTACTAAAGTTCAGACAAAGAACTTGAACACATAGGTCAAACGCAGATATACCAAGGGGCTTTTCTTAACCATGTGTATCACTTCTCTCAGCCTGTCTGCCTGTGAAATTCATCCACCCCATTAACAACTAAGAATCCAGGTTAAGTGGGAAAGCAAACTGACATTTACACTAATGTATGCCTAAACTACCATTATGTCAGCAATGAAGAATTTTCTCTGAAAAATAAAAGTGTGCATATATTAACCATGGTTAAGAACAGCCCATTTTCTTACCTAAATCAGCTCAAAGTAAAACTGACAAGCTTGTTCATGATCTTCCTGGTCTACAGAAGATGGTATAGTTCGAATGCGGCAAAAGGCAGTTACTAACAGACTAAATAATATTGGCAAATTACTATCTTGCTGTGCCCATTGCCAGCAATGGACTAATAGAAAAATCTATTTGCAGGGGTTAGACTGTTGAAATCAAAATCACATTTGCAAGTTTCTAATTTCACACCAGACTGGGGGGCGGGCTCATAAATTAAACAAAAAGTACTTGAAAATGTTCATATATATTCCCAGTATTTAAAAGTTTTACTTACTGTAAACCAATTTATTTCTCTCTTGTCTCACAATAATGGTAGGAAGAGGACTTTGGGCTCTGGTCTGCTTCAACAGTTATTGCAAAAGTTCGCTTTCCACCATATTCTGCTCTTTCACTGCAGTACCATAGAGTCACACTGGTTTGCTTCAGACTTGCCCTCACATAACTACTCCACTCATTATGCTCTGTTCTTACTTCAGCAGATGTCTGGGTGAAATTTGCTGTTTTCATATAATAGTAAGGAATTTATTATCTTTCGATAGAAGGGGGACTGAGAGTGCAAGAACATTTACAGACAATCCATAACAAATATGTACTGAGTACATCCCAGGGAGTTATCTGTTTGTACCTTTTAAGATTTAATGACAGTTTTCATTGTTTTGAGTACATGCATTTTTATTTTATTTTATTAACTTATTACATTATGTAAAATAGTTGTTGTTTTTTTTTAAAAACCATTACTTTAATCATTTTTAACCATTTCAGGGAAAACTCATTTCTCCCATATTCAATATTTACTTGTACAGGGAATGAATTGGCTTGAGAGTGTTTTCCTGCTTACATGAGGATCCTCTGAGTTGAATTCTGGCAATACCACTCCTGGTGGTGGAAAGCGCAAGGGGAAATTACCCCTTCTGTCATAGCTCTTGGTATCACCTCATCTCTTTTTTGTATTTAGTGAGAATTTACTCCTTTTCATTCTGCCAGCAAAATTCTTCACTGAGTCAGAAGTCTTACAAGGACAGTAGTAACCCTTCCCTTTCTGAGAGGCAAATTCTAAATACGATCAGAAATGAAAAAGCAAAGTACTGCTCTTAGTTGTAGATATGTTCCAATACATGACCTTTCTACCACCAGACAATGCATATGTATAGTTTAATTTCTGCTTTCTTGGCAAAGCACATTGATACAGTGACAGGGTAATCTTTCCTCTCTATGTACTTCACCAGGAAAAATGACAGTTTAAACAAGGATACCAACTATCATTTGATGTGTTATTTTGCACTTGGACCTATGCATTCAAGAACAAATTATAAACAAGAAATAAGTCCAAGATGATCAGGGTACAAAGAGAGATAGTTGGTATTTTGATTTAATAGACTTGCCAAGAAAAAAAAATCTAGAATAAAGAACAGAAATAATAAGGGATTCCTTATTGACACTTGACATCCGTGCTTTTGGTCTTGACAAATTGATCTAAAAAATTTCCATTATCTACATATTTATACACAATACTTTCATAAGGCACAGCACAAGTTTGTGCACACACTGCCTCATAATTCACCAAAAAGCCATTACTACCTTTCAATAGTATTTGCCTAAACAATATGTAAAACATTGTAAATTAATTACAAATTTACACAAGAACATTCTTCCTGTACACGATTGTCTCAGTGATGTACCTATTTGCTTAAATTAGACATACTTTAATCTACTTTGCAATGTGCTAAAATCAAAATCATTTTGTTATCAGAAGGCAAAGACGCATTATAGCCATTCATTTATCATACATATCAACATTTAGGTGATGATGCTAAAACAGAGTCTGCTCATAAATAAGATTTACAGAGTACCCTGGGTCTGAGAATTTTTTTAAAAAAGTAAACCTTTTCAAGAAATGTATCCATCAGATTCTTTTGTTTTGTTTTTAAAACATAGTCTTTGTTGTGCAATCAAGTTTGGTATAGTTAAGAAGGTATGCATGTGTTGCACTGAAGATTCTAGAAATCACAAAGCACTTCCTAGTCTCTTCACAGGTACGAACCTTTCAATGTAGTGAACATGGTAAGGACACATCATTAAAACATTCTCATCATGGCTTGTTTTCTTTAGATTCACAGTACTGGGATCAACAGCTGTTTCTGACAAAAGGAGACATGCTCCTCCATATACTAGAGGGGCAAAGGTTAAGACCAGTTGCGGCTGCACATCAACATGATGAAGCCACAAAGTTCTGCAGCCCAGTGCTGACAAAAGACACAGGCACACTGTCCACGGGCATGAGGGAAGTTCTGGGGTTACAAAGTGCTACTATAAGTACTCCAGTTCCAAGGCATGATGAAGGGCCATAAGGTCAGAGTGGCTTGTGATCCTCCAGAATGGCATAGCATGCTGTGAAAACAGTACAAACACAATATAAGGAGAAAATGTTACCTTTTATGATCATAGCAACATCAAGCTAATTCATACTGGAAAGAAAATTGATAAAAATAAAATAATGAAAAATATACCATAAAGGTAGAGAACATATGAAATCTGAATGTGTAAACAGAATATAAAATCACAATGCATAGCTACCTTTCTGTGATGCTGTTACTATAAATTCAGCTCCAAAATGGCAGCCATTTAAAAACTGTTTTTATTTTTGTTTTTTGTGGCAACAGAAAGTGAAGATGTTGAATAAAAAACTGGAGTCAGAACATATTTTAGTACAAGATGTTGGGCTTAAGTGTTTAATACTTGGACCCAGTTTTTTTTTCTGCTCACTGTTTCCTGATACTATCCACAGAAAGAAAGAGTGATTTGCATTATAGAGATATATGTGAAGTGTAGTAAAATATCCCTCAAGGTTAAAATCATATTAACAATGTAAACTAACACATTGGACTATACTACACATTCCAACTGAGTAAATCGTGAACTTTGAGATTAATTTTGTGACATTGTCTTTGTGATCAAACATCACATTTTCTTTGAAAGGAACCAGGAATGCATCATATATTAGCTTTATTCAGAAAAAGAGTTAATCTGAACATGTGAGTCCCTCTTTCATCTGCTATTGTGTTTGGCACATGGAGATGGACAGTTCAAAGATGACTGTCTGACACTTGGATGTGTTCAACTGGGGTCATATAAAAATCAGGGTTCCAGTTGTATGGAGAGACTGTATGTATAGAGCAAAATCTTTTCAAATTGATACACAGAAAATGAGGATTATCCTTTCCACCTCCTTATGTATTCAGATTAAATGACATAAAGTCAGCATTTTATTTAAATACAATGATTCTAAACACACGTGCCAATGTATTAAGGCACACAGCAAAACTAATAGCTAAAATATGAGAAGCACAACATATGAACAAAAAATTCTGACATTCAAGTGATGGGGATGGAGATGGCTGATTTTGCTTTCTACTTGCAGTGCTTCATCTATCTTTAGATCTCACTCCCATACCCTTACTTTCATATAATTTTGAAATTATTTTTCAGTCTGAACTATTAAAAATAGGTAAAATCAAAAAATTCATTTCTTTACTCATTAGTACCATCTGTTAACATCCCCACAGATATGCACTTTAATGGTTTCATGTAAGAAGCATGAAAATAAACATGTATCCTAAGAAATAAAGAAAATTCCACAGCTTCCACAAAATGCACAGAGATACAGGCCAGATTCCATTAGATGCAAAGGTTTGAATAACTTGCTGAAGCTGACTGATGAGGTAGGTGCCAAGGTGCATCTCTGTACACTCAACTGTGCAACCAAGATGTGCCCCCACACCTCAACAACTGGCAGCAGTTAGTCACAGCAAGTTATGCAAGACTTATAAAAACAGCAATAGGATTCCAACCATTGCTCAAAATCATGCAACATTTGTTGATAATAGCTAAAATTAGAGATAGGCTATTCATATTTGTATCCCTGTGGATGCAAATATGAATAGCAGTACCACAGGTGCCACAGAGGTCCATTCCCTCCCCCCAAAACTGGTGGTCCATTCACCATTTGGTGCATGGCACTTAGTTTTGTCACTGCTGTTGTTGCATCACACACGGAAGGAGCCCGGCCTACTGTTCCCTGCCTCCTCGCTCAGCCAACCGTTCATCGGACTCCTCCTGGAATTTGTGCAATGGTAAGAATGGAGCTCAGTGCCGCACGCTGAGCCAGTTCTGAGGGGAGGGAATGGACATCTGTGGCATCTGTGGTGCCACTATTCTTATTTGAATCCCCAGAGATACAAATAGCCCATATCTAGCTGAAATCCTGTTGGCATTCTATGCCTGTAGAAAGATGACACAAGAAGGACAAAGTATTTACTTAAAATCACCATAGTGAGATGATATTACTGTCAGAGAGAAATTTTCAGTAAAAACTTCTTCCTTCTGTATCATGGTTTCCACATCATCAAACAGATTACAGAGAAGCTGAAAAAGTCATGGAACAACATAGGACATTTTTAATTATTGGAATTTGCCTCCTGCCATCAGGCTTCTGCAGGCATAGGTACACCTACAGAATTTCAGCCATTAAAATATATAAAGTTCACTGTGGATGTGTAGAATGAAAACTTTCATTTTTCTTTTCAAGTTCTTTCAGGATGGGGATCTTTTGTGCAGCAGCCTTTTTATTTAGCATGAAATGAACCAGCTATTTTGTTTCATTTCCCCCTTTCCTGTTCAATCTATATCATCCAGAAGTTATGTATAAATAACCTGAAAAGCCACTCCAAAAAAAAAGGAAAGGTAAGGCAACAGAGAATCAATATACAGTACTACAAGAACAGGCCAACTACAAGAACCAAGAGACCTCCAAACTTCACAAACCACCTCCAAACACCCACTAAAATATTCACCTATAACAGAATACACAGTTAAATTAATCAAATAACAATTTTTAAAAAATCTATCAAACAGGAAAAGTACACCCCCCACACAGGGGAAATACTGTATAAGAAAATAAAACACAGAGACAAACCCCCATCCCTAAAACATACAAGCAAATAAAAAAATACAAATAATGCCACTCCCCAAAACTAAAATGACTGAAGTATGAGATTTCATTCTCCATTACTGCTTGATAATAATAACCTTAGAACTACAAAACTGGAAGGGATCCTATGGATCATCAAGTCTAACCCCTGCCAAGGAGACACAGTGGGCAACTGAACTTCCAACTTCAGTTGATGTTTTGTCTACTTCTACTTCCACCCATTCTGATTGGCTACTGACAGTAACCCTCACAATGCTATTGGATGAAAAATGTCATGGGCAGTGTGCTAGACAAGATGTGAAAGAAAGGTTAAATGAAAGTTGGAAAAAGGATGAAAACACAACACTTTTGTGTACCTCTCATTAACATGAATTATTTGTGTTGAAGAGGCTCTTTTGGAAACCAATGAAAGGACATGAAAACGCTAGTAAGAGCTTCTTTCATGTTTTTCTCCCATTCAGTTAATGCAGAAATCCCATTGCCAAAACATGTTTTTAAAGATGTTTTTGATACAAATTTAACACTTTATAAAAGCAAAGCAAAATTATGTCACTCTGCTGCCCAAACTGTATTTAAGACAATTACATTTCAGTGGTTCATATTATATTGGTATTGGTATTGCACATGCTGACCCTACAATAATGTTCACATACACAATACTTTAAATGTAAATGTTGAATGCTCATTCTACCAGCTAAGTAACGGGAAAAATCTATGTCTAGCCTATGAATGTGACAGCAAAATACGCTGTTATAAAGTATGTGTGGGGTGGAAGGATCTATGGATGAACTGGCGATGCACAACAGCTTTAATAACTCCTGCTTAATGGACATCCTAGCTGGAGATGGTAGGAACAGATAAAACTAATCCATAAATATCTCACACACCGTATTTTTCAGATTATAACATGGCCTGCACTTTTCTAACCCCAAAATTAAGAAAACTTAGCTTAGAGCAGTGGTTCTTAACCTTTTTGAAAGAAACGCCCCCTTGAGCCATTGAGGAAGTTATCATTGCCCCCCCTCCCCGCAGTGATGTT